CTATATATATATATATATATATATATATATATATATATATATATATACTACTTACTTATATATATATATGTATATTTATTTACTTACTATATATATATATATATATAGTTTATATTTTACTTACTATATATATATATATATATATATATATATATATATTTATTTTATATATATATATATATATATATATATATATATATATTTACTATATATATATATATATATATATATATATATATATATATATATATATACTTACTTACTTACTATATATATATATATGTATATTTATTTACTTACTATATATATATATATAGTTTATACGGGTTCTACGGGCATTTTTTGGCCGTGCCTACTGGCTCGGGAAACCCACATTAAACTCGGCCTTGTGCCACATGCAACCCTCGTGGCGGGTGGGGGGGTGTCTAGATACCGAATCGAGTCGAGCTTCTCGGCTTGACGGTCGAACTCTCTGCCTCTGAGCAGAGAGGAACCTGGGCGAGGCTCCGACGAAGGGTAGAGCATCGTTCGGGGAGGTTGATCAACCCGATTCTGTTTTAACAGTTTCTACGGGCATTGTTTGGCCGAACCTACGGGCTCGGAAAACCCACATAAAACTCGGCCTTGTGCCACATCTTTCCCTCGTGGAGGGGGGTAAGTAAATATCTAATCGAGTCGAGCCGATAGTAGTTCACTCCAAACCAGACTGACAGTCATACTAACACTTTCCACATCTTGTATTATTATTTCGTGTAATATACCTTCGTTATTTCTACTCTTGTGTTCGTGTTGTTCTTCTTTGGTCCTAAGCTGGACCATAACACTTTTTTAAAAAAAAACCCCAAAAAACAAACAAACAAAAAAAACAACAAAACAATCTTAATCAACAGCGAGAGCGGGCCTTTTTCCTTGTGTGTATGCGAATATTTTATTGATACGTAAAGGCGTGACATCGAGGGTGAGTCGGAAGCCAATTAAATTTGCTTGCATGCAAGAAAAGATAGAAACAAAAGAACAGAAAAAAAAAGGCAAAGAACGAAGGGAAAGAGAAAGAATGAAAATGGAAGGTAAAATGTAAAGAAAATAAAGAAAAGCGAAAATCACGAGATGAAAGGAATGGCAAAATAAAAGGAAAAGAAAGAGGGGGAAGAAAAAAAAACAAATGAAAAGAGGAAAAGAAAGAAATTGAAAGATAAAGAAAAAAAAATGAAGAGTAGGATAACGAATAAAAGAAATCAAAAATAAGAGGCAGAATTTTGGAAAGGAATGAAAATCGTACAAAAGAAATAGAGAGATGAAAGAAAAAGAGTGGAAAATAGAAGGAAATGAATGAGAAACTTTTCCATATGAAAGTGGACAATGACGAAAAAAAAAAGGTTTATTTTTTACGTCTTATCAACCTTTCGTAGCCTATTTAAAGCCAGAAAGTATATTTAGATTGTAAGATTTTTTGATAATGAGACAAGAAAAGAAGGAAAAAAGACAAGAAAAGAGACAAGGAAAGAAAGAAAAGAGACAAGAAAAGAAGGAAAAAAGACAAGAATAGAGACAAGGAAAGAAAGAAAAGAGACAAGAAAAGAAGGAAAAGAGACAAGAAAAGAGACAAGGAAAGAAAGAAAAGAGACAAGAAAAGAAGGAAAAGAGACAAGAAAAGAAGGAAAAGAGACAAGAAAAGAGACAAGGAAAGAAAGAAAAGAGACAAGAAAAGAAGGAAAAGAGACAAGAAAAGAAGGAAAAGAGACAAGAAAAGAGACAAGGAAAGAAAGAAAAGAGACAAGAAAAGAAGGAAAGAGACAAGAAAAGAAGGAAAAAGACAAGAAAAGAGACAAGGAAAAAGAAAGAAAAGAGACAAGAAAAGAAGGAAAAAGACAAGAAAAGA